TGTGTGTATGTTGATTTAACGGGATGCTAGCATACTGGCACCAAGGCTTTTTGCTTTTCCTAAGTTACAAATTCATAAATCGTTGCCAATTCTCTCGGGGTTAAAGTTAGCTTCCACATATAACTTATTATAGTTATAGCAAATAGTCAGTCATTTACTGCAATTGCTTGCGTTACATAAATAGTTTTTGCATTTAAATTAAAATTATCAATCTCATTCTTAAAAATAAATACTAATATTTGTGGCAATAAAAAATCCAATTTACAGTTTGTTTACAATTTACAATTTACACCTCAAATTGAATTTATTTTAATTTTCAATTTAAGTGATAATTTTTTATGATTCCATATCATTGTAAAAATAAAAAGAAACAAATGGTTTATATTTTAAGTATTTGAAAAGTTATTATTCTACAGTATTGTTTCTAAAAAAATGAAAATAAAATGAGGATGATTAGAAAAACGATTAACAATTGAAAATTATCTCCCGAGAAAAATAAATAACACATATTTTATGATAAAAATGCAAACATTATAACCTTATAAACAAATATTTGATGACAATATAAACTAAAAATTTTCGATTTTGATAGATCTTTTATTTAGCCTACTTGAAGTAGTCCATTCCTTTTTTATTCGAAATATCTCAAAATTTTGGAAAGTTCCAACTTTTTTTACTTTATGTTTTCATTCTAGTTTTTCAGTAAATTTCTCAAAACCCTTCAAATTTTTAAAAAAGTTGAACTTTGAATAGCGTACACATATAACTCATATAATCAAATGGAAAATCAAAGCATCTCATTCAAATTTATTATAATTTTTTAAAACTTTGTTGAAGATTTAAGTTTCTTGTCGAAAATAATAATTTATTGTTACATTAATTCATATAATCTTTTGCTAATATCTTACGTCCGTTAAAAATTTTGAGCTTAAAGTTTAATATTTTAAAAGTTTTTTAAAATTTCCGAATTGGTAAGAAATTTTTGAATCTTCAAAAAGTTGATTTTTCAAGAAATTAAAGAATCATAAACAATTTATTGATGGGATGCACAATTTATGTGATCTTATCATGTGTCACCATTTATAAAATTATTTTATGATAGATAAAATTCATGAATGTTGAAATTTCAATTCCAATTGAATCGAATAAAAGTGATAACTTAACAGAAATAATTAAATTACACAAATGTATGGTAGTAATTAAATCTAACAAAAAACAAAAAATTTTTTTTGAATTAAAATTTTTTTTAGAAAAGATAGCAGTTATTGCTCCAGTTTATTTCTAGCTAAATTTGTGTGATCTGTTTATCAGACAGTGATTAAGTAGAATAATGATAAAAGTTAATAATAGTGAAAAGAAGACTTCGTATCGTTTGATTTCGATATAAAATGCATGGATGATGGATGGATGGGCCTGGGAGGTGATTAGTGTAAATGCTTCTTCCGGAAATGGATCTGTTTATATCAGAACAAAACAGGAATTTCGTGCTGACATGAATTACAAAAGAATGCTCAATTTACTTTTCAATCTAATTTACATGTTCCCTTGCAATCATTTTCCATTTCTTTGTTATTTCAATTGAAAAAAACATTCAAAATGAAAAGTTCAAAAATTTAGCTAAATTTTGAAGTGACGAGTTTTTTTTTTGAATATTTTGAAAAAAAAAAATTAGCATTTTATTAACTTTGGTTGAGTAACAAGGAAAGAAGGAAAGAGAGAGGGAGAGGAAGAGAGAGAATTCATTGCACTATTCCATTGCACTGTTTCATTGAATTTATGAACAGCTGAAGGAATTAAGTTTATTTATTTTATCTTATCAAATTCACTGCCAAAAGGATGTCAAATGCCTTGAACAGAAAAGATAAAAGTAACGGAGATAATAAGAGAAAAACGATAAAATGCTTAATATATATACATATAATTTTATATCATGTACTTGTTATTGACTGTAAAATAATAAAATGATGAAGTGAAGTAAATTCAAAACTAATCAATTCAATGTTAAATTTTACAAAACTAAAATAACAAAGGGCATAAAAACAATACATCTGATTTCTCAATATAGGAAAAGCAGGATTGTTCAAATTTTACGTTATCATCTACACCACAGAGAAGAACTGTAAAAAAAATGTACAAATTATTCATAATTATTTTATCGAGTTCTTAAAAGCAATATTACATATAATTATAGTTCTAAAATTAAATTAAATAACAACTAATTTTTTCATATACTACATGCTATCCACAATAATATTTTTGGATTTTGAAAAATAAAAAGATTTTGTAGGTTTCAGGAAGATCGAAATTTTTGGGTTATAAAAGATCAGAAATGATGCAGAGGAAGAATTAGTTTTTAAATTCAAAAGAAAAATTTAAAAATGAGAAGAACTAGTATATATTCTTACATGCTAATTGTTTACAACAAACTATCACAGGAAGATATTTTCAATAATGCCATCGATTGATAAACAGACAATGTTTATTTTTTTCTTTATGAAAAATCAGGCAATTATTTGAACAATATAATTGATAATTCATTCTAAAATCTCAATTTTTGCGTCAGCAAACTCTAATATTTGATTACTCCTATTAATTTTGAAAGTATTAGTTTTAATTTTTTTTGAAAATTGAAAGTATTAGTTTTAATTTGTTATACATATAAACGTTGCCAATCATTACACATTCTCTGATTGTTTTATTAATAATTTATTACGGTTGTATACGTGTATGTACATGTATGCGTACGTGTGAGTCTATGTTTGTGTGTGTATGACTATTAAAAATAGCCTTTAGCTCAGGAACATCTTGAGAGGGCTAATTTTTCGAATCCATAACGAGTAGTATTTATTTTTTATTTAAATTGAAATAACTTACAGCATCCTTTGATTTAATTTTCTTTCTTCAAACTTTTTATCTTTCATCATATAAGATTCCCTATTACATTAATGTGCCTGCTTATTTTTTGCTTATTTCTTCCAAAATTTTCCTTATTTTGATTTGCAAAATCATTCTATACTGTAATTTTTATTAATTATGATAAATCTGTTTTGGAATGGCAATTATTTTGTATCTTTGAAACTTTTGATTTCACTTCGATTTTTGTTTATGATTGCAAGAATAAAACGTGCATTTACTAATGCTTACTGCTGAAATCTTAGAATTCTTTTTTTCAGAATATTTTTTTTTCAAATAGCATTTACTTTTACAGATCAGACTTATCAGTGCATTAGCAAGAAGCAGTCGTTTGAGATAGATTACTTATTATCAATCATTCACTAATGATAGTACCATCTGTTATTTTTACTTTTTTTAACAAGCTTATTCCATATGCAAAATGCTACCATTAGCATCTTCAAGTTTCAGAGTTAAATTTGTTGACGCTTATTTATTGCTCACAATTCTATGTGTGTAGAATTTCTAGAATTCAACTACCATTGATAATTAGAGTATATAGTAAGCTTTGTTAAAAATTATCCTTTACGAAAATTTATCATTATTTTAAAGATGAATACAAAAAGGTGTGTTATTTGTTCAACAATTTCACTCTTTGAATAATTCAATTTATAAAAAAATATGAAACTGATATATTATTGTATTATCACATATAGAAAACGAAAGAAAAAACATTTGTAATTCATTTGATCATTGTGAATACGTTATTTGTTGTGATATTTTTCAATTCATGAAATTCACCATCAATTAAATTCAAATTTTTCATAATATCTATTTGTGCTTTTAGCAAAACTTCAAGAATGACAAATATTTCAATTAATAAGCTAAGACATATATCTTCCATTATAATTTTCAATCGATTAAATTTCTCAAATTGAACAACAATGATAATGACAATAGCAAAAAGGAGCAGCAGCTGTATGTTATGGAATCAAATTCTATCCATCTGCAACTTTGTCCTTGACAACCACCATTTGCGGAGCAGCAGGAAATAAAGGGAAGGTGGGTTGACAATCGATTTTCACTGTACACATAGAGAGATTTGAAAAATTTTTCCACTACAATTTAGTACATATCTGTCAAATACATAAAGGAAATCACTGCGAGAGAGAGAGAGAGAGAGAGTAGGTGTACGACTGAATGCGACGTGCAGAAAACTTGTTCAACAAAAGGATGACTCTCAAATTTACCTCCTCTTAAATTTTGCCAATCACTTAAGAATTCGAAATTTTTTAATCTCCTATCTCATAAATGATTATTGATTAATTTCATGCATCATCTTTATTTATAAGGCTAAATTTTACGTCGTTTTTTTTTTTTTTTTT